CAGCTATAGGTTTGAGCCATACAAACAATACTTAAATGCATTTTTCTCCTCTTTTTATAACACGCTGTTCCCAAAACATTGATGCTGTTCATCTGGATGTAGCATTTTCAGTGGGAGGAATATCGTTTAGCATTTCACCCCAAAAGGGACGTGTTTAACACTTAAAACTTATTAATAAACCCTGCATTAATGTAGCATGTGTTCAAAAATATTATCCCTGTTTATGGGCTTTGACGTGGCCTCAGGAAAGTAAATAAAAGGCAGAGCAGTGTTGAAGTTACTCCCTGCCTTGTCACAATAAGCTTCTATTGTCTTTTTGACGTCACGCTTATAAACACACCCTGTAAAAGCATTCATTCCTAAGTGGCGCGTGTTTCTATACAGACACATAGCATCAGGATGACAAACAAGTTTTTTTGCTAAAAAGATCCTGAAAAAATTCTTGATATGTGCACACCTTTATCTCAGCTAAGCATTAAATGGGAATAACAAAGACAAATCTAATGTTGTACTTACACTATAGACTAAAAGCTTTTCTTTGCAATGCTTTGATTACCATGTCAAACACTGTTTTCCTCTTCAGCAAATACCAAAGGAAAAAGGAGACTGGATATCTGATTTATTGCTGTGAATGGAGGGTGAAAGAATTCCTGCAGTTTTGTAAGGAAACAGAAAATATGTGGCTGTATGATCCTTAATGGGACCTGTAGCCACCAGATCCTGTTCCTGCCCTGAGGCTGATTGTTTTTAGTAGCAAACACCAAGACCAAGAATTCAAACACAGGAGAGTGATTGATAAAATATAATCATTATGAGTGATTGGATTTAAGGCTGAACAAAGACTAAAAAACTATTTTAAAGTGTATTCATTAATTAAACTAGTACATGCCCATACTACAGTGTTATCTGGTCTGCTTGTACTGTTGATAAAGTGATATACTTACTCACTATGAAAAAAGTAATAAACATTGCTGTTTATACAAACAGAAGATAAATATGGATCAGATTTTTTAAGTGTCCATTTTTTTAGCTTCACTACTATAAAAATGTCATTTTAATCCATTCTCAGATGGTGGCATCAAAATGCACTACTGTGAAAAGGTCCTGGGAAAAAAGACATCTCTTATTTCTTTTTATTTTACTGGGAACGTGGAAAAAATACGTGATTCAATTTACAGAAACATGCATGTAAACAGCATATAAGACAAAAAATCTGAGTTTGTACAATTCTATCAATAAAAGTCATCCATCTTTATACTTCTTAAGTACGTGGCTGTCAGATACTATTCATCTGTGTAGACAGTTTGTTTCTCTCTAATAGGCTGTTCCCATGCCAGCATGTGGTCTAAAGATGACTCATTTACAGTGGACAGTAAAACAGCTGAGGATTGGTTCCTCCCATAGTTTTACAGTTGTTTTGCTTTTACCAAGTTTATAGTGGTTTTCCACTTCTAAGTATTATTATATTTCTATCATGATTGTTTGGGCATGCAAGGATATATATTTTAGATGTTATAAATGTCTCTTTGTGTTCCTCTTCCTATCCCTGTGTAAAGCACTTGGATGTGTAGTGACGCAATAAAGTGAAAACTACACATAAATTTGACTCGACTTGACCTAATTGGTCCAAAAATATTTTATTCCTACCAAACGGTGTGCTATCTTTAATATTTTTCACAAATTCCACCAAAGAAAATTCGGTGTTTTTGCAACAGGCTGCTAGTACAAAGTGCCTAAAGTTCGAATTTATGTCTAGAAACACTGGTTCCTTAGGTGTCTTGTTTATGTTTGAATGATGTTTAGGTCATTATGAAGGGATTTATCTGCAATAAAATCCTCTGAAAATGGTCAGGTACAAGGACTAGATTGGCTGCCTTTTCCCTCATTTTCAATGTCCACAGAAAAACTTGAATGACCTCCAAAAGTCCTAGAGAAATATTGCTCCAAATCATTTTAGCAAAAATGAAGGCTGGTTCAACAGAAGCAAATGATAAAGAAATGAGGGGTGGCTCAAGACTTGCATAGTGCATCATATATATATAATAAAATCAAGCTTTGTGGATATAAATTACTCTTCTGTCATGAAATTAAAATCATACAATGCTTCATAAGAGTTATAAGGGTATAAATGCTAAAAATGGGACATTTTAGCCCATTGCTAGATGGTTTCAGGGCATAAATAATATCAGACATAATTATCTGATGTAGATAAATATTAGCGTAATATAACTCCTTATCATATAGAAGTTTAAAGACATTATCTGCTGGGAAAATACCTCAAAATCATTTATTACATTAATGCTAAATGATGCAGGATTTACCTTAATAGCCATATAAAAC